GCATCTTCTGTGTGTCTCCCAGTTGATAAGGAAAGTAGACCTCAGAAGTATATGGGATTGATTTGGAATGGTGGTCTGGAGAGGCTCTAGAGACTTCATCTTTCCTTCTGCAACTGTCCCCAGCTTAAGACACAGATGTGGCAGCTCCTCAAGGGCCACGACCACCTACAGGATGAGTTCTCCATCTTCTTTGACCATCTGCGCCCAGCAGCTAGCCGGATGGGTGACTTTGAAGAGATCAATTGGACCGAGGAGAAGGAGTATGAGGTACAGGCCTTGAGGCTGCAGTGGGGGTGTGAAGGGGGAAGGTGTGAAGGAGGTGTGAAGGTGTGAAGGGGGAAGGGGGAAGGTGTGAAGGAGGGACGTCTGCCCAGAGTCTTTGTTGAGTGGCACCAACTCCTCCCCAGTTTGATGGCTTTGAAGAAGTGGCATTGCCTGATGTGGAAGAGGAAGAGGAACCTCCCAAGATACCCACAGCCTCAAAGAACAAAAGAAGAAAAGAGATTGGGGTCCAAAATCACGATAAGGTACGCTAGGCTGTTGGCGATTATCCTGATTCAAGCCTTGCATTTTCTGTCTGAGTGGTTCTGTGGTGTAGGGTGGTGCCATGCCTCTGTGATCTGCAGCAGCCGTGGAGCAGGAGCCATAGGTCGGGTCAGGCTGCTGTGCCACACACCCTGAGCCCATGGGAAGAACAGTGCAGTGGCTGAGGAGGTCCCAGCCATGATTAACTCGTTAGAAGGATCTGTTTCTCTTGCTCAGAGATACTTCTCTTGCCCTTGGGTCTTCTTCCTTTCTGTTCTTGTGAAAAATAGAACCAGGATTCCTCATTTTAGTAATGACAACAACTGATACCTAGCCGTATTCCAAAGCAACATATATCTCTTATATTTTACATGGATTATTCAGTTAATTCTCATGCTTACCCTGTGAAAAGATTGTTTTGTTTGCGTTTTACAGAAGAGGAAACTGAAGTGCAAAGAGGGACCATTCCCAGGGCCTCATGTTTAGTCAGGGACGGGTTGTTTGGCCCCAGAGCCCGCCTGTGCTCACTGCTCTCTGTTCTCCTCAGGAAGTAGTTTTTAGTCACTGTCCCTTTGCTGCATGTCTTGTACTCTTTCTTGGGGAAAACCACTTCTTAGTACCTGAATGACCTTAGGCAATTTATTTAATCTTTGTTTCAGTTTCTGCATTGTTAACGGGGATAATAACGGTACTTATGTCTTGGGTTTATTGAACAGAGAGTATCATTGAGTGAGCCTTCCATATGTACAAAGCCCTCTCTCAAGGGGATTGGAAGAGAGGGGAGAGCTCCAGGCACAGGGCAACAGAGACAGAGGCGGACGAGTGAGTAGATCGCAGCCCGCGACGGAGCTCTCTGTGACTTAGCCTCAGACAGCACCACTTAAATGTGTCCTGAAACGTCTGGGCGACTGGGGTCTGTCAGCCTGTGGGTCATTTACGGATTGTTTCAGGGATGCATAGTAGGCTTTAATTGAGTTGGCCAATCGTCTCCCCAGGCAGTGTGAAGAAATGGTATATGATAGGAAGTCGGGGAGGGGGCCAGGGGGCGGACTTTAGATGGCTCACAACTTGGCTCCCTCTTGGTACCAAAAATGTTTGACAGCTAACCAAGCCCAGGTGTCTCCTAGGAGGCTGAGTGGCCAGATGGGGCCAAGGACTGTGCCTGTTCCTGCCATGAGGGAGGTCCTGACTCCAGGATGAAGAAGAGCAGAAGGAGAAGTTGTAGCCACTGCAGCAGCAAGGTGAGGAGAGCACTGGGACCCAGGGGCGTCGGAGCTGCTGGGCAAGCCCCAGGTTGCTCTGCTGTTTGTGGTGCTGTTACCCCAGCTCTGCGCATTATTGAATTCCTAAAGAGATTACACGTGAATAAATAATAAGCTGTATACATACTCATTAGTGTGTGTGTGCAAAATAGATAGAATCTTTAAAAATATATGTAACAGATTTTGCTTTTTAAAGGGAATCTTTTAGGTGAAGTTTTGAAATAGGGAAAAATACCAACCAGTTCATTTATTTTCCCTCTAAGATTTTCTTTTTTTAAATGAAACAAACGTGTGTGAGGAAAACAGCCGAAAGGTAGTGCTGCTTCTCTAGGCTTGGTTGCCAGCAAAAATACAGTCCTTGGTTGGAGGAGGAGTGGTAGAATGCAGCACTCTATTTTGGGCCCTTTAAAACCCTTGGAGCAGGCATGCATGTTGCTTGACTTGCTGAGCATCGTGTAGGGCTTCTTCCTGTGGTCAGCCCCCAAGACAAAAGAGGTCAGGAGACCCTTGACCCAGAAGGCCATCCCTGCAGGTCTGTGACAGCAAATCCTACAAGAGCAAGGAGCCCCATGAGTTGGTGGGCAGCAGTCCCCACCGAGAGGCCAGTCTTATGCCTGGTGCTAAGGAAGCTGGGCAGGGCAAGGACGTGATGGAGGAGGAAGCCCCAGAGGAGCGAGAAAGCATTGAGGCAACCCAGAGCAGGACTGGCAGGAGTACCAGGAAGGGAGAGATGCCTGTTGCAGGTGAGTGACCCAACTGCCAGCCCAGCCTTTCTCCCTTTATCTCTGTCTCATTCTCATATGCTTCACGCAGGGACGTCTTTGAGCCTGGATAACATTGGTCTTTATAGGGATAGACTACCACCTCTTTTACTAATAAACCAGTAGGAAACTCTTCTCCTGTCTAGCCTTAATTTCTCTCCTGTGGCCTCAATCCTCTTGTAGAATTAAGAGTGCTTAACATCCGCATGATCCAGCATTTTCTTCTTGTGTTCCCATTCCTGAACCCCTTCTCCTTATCTGCAGATCCTCTATGATCTGTATTCAAGACTCAGCCATTCTCAGCTTTGGCAACAGACTTTATATCTTTATATAAACAACTCTAGCCCCTACCCTCGCCTCACTCTTGTACATCAGAACTTTGTCACAGTAGTTTGCCAGAGTGACCCCATGGTAATTTGTAGTCCTTAGATGCAGTGTGACCCTTAGGTCCTTGTTTTCCTCCTAAACAGGATTGGCAGCGGGGAGCACTTTGCCGTCCCCTCAAGAAGTGACTTTTACAGACCAGCTCCTCCTTGATGGCCTGCCACCACCCTGCTCACCAGAGACTCCTCAGCTTCCCTCCACAGCTGGAACTGTGCTGTGCGCTGTCAGGAGTAACCAGGCTGGGCCTGCAGTTCTCTCCTGCCCCAGGGCATCCCCCAGACTTCAGTGTGAGGGGGAGGGCCATAAGCCAGGGGCTGAGTTGGAACCATCCATGCTGGCCTGGGATGCTTCCGAAACTGAGAAATTGCCTGGAACTGTCGAACCCCCTGCTTCCTTCCTGAGTCCTGTTTGCTCAAGGACTGGAGACTTCGGGAGAAGACAGGTGCCTGGGAAACCAGACACAGAAGAGAGCTGGCTGCCTTCCAGCAGAGCTGGGGTGACCACAGCAGACAGGGTGTCCCCTCTCCATGGAGCTGCTTCAGCAGGAGTTGACACCTCAGAGACTTCTCCTAAAGCCCCTAGAGGAGGTTTGGCTAAAGACAGTGGACTACAGGGCAAGGGTCCAGGAGGGGAGCTGCAGACGAAGGCCACAGAAGCTACAGTATGTGCCAACAACAGCAAGGTCAGCTCCACCGGGGAAAAGGTGGTCCTGTGGACGAGGTAGGTGCGGACAGGGGATGTATGTGTGTTTGGAAAGCACGCGGAACACACCAGGTTACTGATTGAGATTAATGGCCATGTGTGGATTCCAGGGAAGCTGACCGGGTGATCCTGACCATGTGCCAGGAGCAAGGAGCACAGCCGCAGACTTTCAGTGTCATCTCCCAGCAGCTGGGAAATAAGACCCCTGCTGAGGTAAGCAGGGTGAGCCTTGCTAGAGCTTCAAGCCCTAGAGGAACCAAGGAAAGGGTTTGGCAAGAAGAGGACAGGTTGGCCAACTAAGATATGATTGGGGATTGTAAGTTCTGCCCTGAGTAAGACCTGGACTTGTCAGCATGGATAGTAGTGGCTCTAGAAGAGAAAGGGCATTTTTGAGGGAGAAGCCCCAGATTGCATTTTAGTTTTTAGAAGGAATGTGACTTGCGGCGGTGTTTAGCCTCTTGACCCGTTTCCGTATCTGTAAGGAGGACTCAACCCTCACAGCCTGTGTGCAACAAATCAGATGGTTCATGTTGGTGTATCATATAGCTTGCTTGAGTGAGCACATGCCAAGTCACTTCAGTTGTATCCGACTCTTCACAACCCCATGGACTGTAGCCTACCAGGCTCCTCTGTCCGTGGAATTCTGCAGGCAATAAGTGGGTTGCTATCCCCTTCTCCAGGGATCTTTCTGACCCAGGGATCAAACCTGTGTCTCCTGCACTGGCAGGTGGGTTGTAAATGTTAATGTGTTACTAACTTAAGAAGAGTGAAGTCAGGCCCCTCACTCTCCTCCTAGGTTTCCCATCGTTTTCGAGAACTCATGCAGCTCTTCCACACAGCCTGTGAGGCCAGCTCTGAGGATGAGGACGACGCGACCAGTACCAGCAATACAGACCAGCTGTCTGACCATGGGGACCTTCTGTCTGAGGAAGAGCTGGATGAGTGAGACCTGGAGTGTGAGGGTGTCATCTGAGCATTGAGTCCACCAGGCACCCTGGTGATCAGGGAGAGGGTGGGGTGCTGCACCTCGCTTCTGCAACTGTTGAGTTCAGTATGCGGAGCTGGAGGAACGGGGGCCAGGGACAGTGACAAAGGCAGGCTGGGGGTCAGACGATCCTGCCACCCTTTGCATCTTTTACGAAGACCTTAGAAATAGTTGTAAAGAGCATTGAGGGAGAGTGGGGCGCAGTTCCTTTTCTGTGTTGTATTTTTTTCTGTCTGATGGTACATATTTATTGTTGTGTGATCTGATCACAGTGTTTCTAAATGTAATAAATGCGTGTGTTGGTGTAGCCAGTCCCAAGACACTGAGCTCCTGCACCCAGCAGTTTTTATTGTAAACTAGTCCTTTCCTTTTCTTGGAGCTTTAGTCCACGAGCCTATCGTTGCTACTCTCGTAGCACTGGGCCAGGTTGCGCAGTTCCTGCAGCATCTCCTCTAGGTCATCCTGTTCCACTCCAGCATCCATGAAGCTGGCCCAGCGTCGCAGGTCAAGTTTGGAGAGATCTTTGGCCAAATCTCCCAGGGCCCGGCACAAGGAGGAAGAGGAGCAGAGGGCCCCAAGCACTGGGATGCTCTCCACCGCTGCGGGGAGAGAGGATGGGAGTTGTTCTACCCTGGGGCTCTATCGCTTACACGGGGAAGCCTGGGCCTCTGGCAGACTTGACTGTACAGTAAACTATACAGTGTCCTGTCCCCTTTGTACACCAGCAACTAGGGGAAGAACACTTCTCTGAGGAACCACAGAGTGAATAAAGGAGTGTTAACCTGGGAACTTCCCCAGTACTTTCATTCATGAAGGGATACTGTAAAAGTCTCTCATGCTTGAAAACCTCTAGGTTTTCTTCACCTGCTACATACCTGTCCCTGCTGGAGGAGCATCGAGTAGCAACCCATGCTGGCTGCGGCGTGAGAAGAGGTAGGGGTAAGGAGGGACTACCCTGCAGGGAGTCAGCAGCAGATGGGAAGAGCTGTGGGGGGAGAGCACAGCAGCTGAGTGAGAGAAAGTCAAGGGAGGTCTGAGGTCTGGGAGGAGAGGAGCAAGCATTCTACTGACCTCCTGACTCTAGGCTGCTGCTGCTGCAAATATTGGGCCAAGACTTCTTCCCCAGTGGTGCACGCGTGGAGCGGGGAGGGCAGAGGTGTCCCGGGGGTGAGCTGACTGCCAGAATAAAGCCAAAACCACCTTTAATCTGTGGCAGCATGAATGAGAAACTAGGACTTAGGTTCTCAGGCCATCAGCTTGATCAGGATGCTCAGAGTCTGTTTTACCAATAAGTGGGGCAGAGGGAAGGCGAGCAGGGCAGTGCCATTAGGCTATCCGGAGGTGTCAGGGAGAAAAGCATGTGAAACGGAAGTCTGACAAGGGCTCCTGAGGACCACTAGTCCTTACCTGGTGTGGCGTGCTCTGTCTAGACCCCTCAGCACCACTGACTGGGCAAAGCAGCATGTCCCAGAAGGGTCCCCACATGCAGACAGTGGGGTCCATGGCGTGGCCTGTCCAAGCTGCATTAGGGTATCAGGGAGGGACTGGCTTGGAACTAAGGGGAAGGGGATAGTTGCTCCTGCTGTCACCACCTAAAGGTAAGAAAGAAATCAAGTTACAGAGCCTTTCTCAGCTCTGACCCAGCTCTTCAAAAAGCTTCATACCTTTTTCCCAGAGAAGTTCAGCATATCAGCCAGATGAACCATGGAAACTGGTGAGGACCGTAGGCGATAAGGAACAGTGACTGTGTCCAGGGCTGTAGCCAGGATGGCACCACAGTGGACGGGCAGAGCGGCCTGTAAAGAGGATAAGAAGAAAAGCACTTGGCCTTTTGGGTGTAGAAAAGAGGCTGTGTTGGCAGAGTAGTAACGGCAGAGACGTCTGTGTGCTTTGGGACAGAGCAGGGATGTGTTTGGCCCTGGGCTGGACAGGCATAGGACAGTGTCATCTAAGAGGCCACATCAGGGCCAAGTTCAAGATGAGGCTTCAAAATAGATCCAGTAGCAGATAAAGGCTGATTTAGGGGAGTGTGTGTGTGTGTGATGCCCTTTGATTAGCTATGTCAGAACAAGAGCGTTGAGTCTTACGTCATACTGCAGGAGAGGGAAGCTGACGGGCGGCTCAGGTCGCAGCCCCAGGCTCCCACCCAAGGATAAGGGGCAGACCAGAGAGCTGTGAGCAGACAGGTGTACCAAACCGAAAGCTGTGTTTAACAGACGGTAGATGTTTTTTTGCAGCTCCTGGTGAAAGAAATGAGGGCAGTTTGTTTTAACCAGTGTTCTCACTGGGCATTCCTTCATATCTCCACGGGGCGCTTCCCCCCACACCCTGGAAGAACTGCTCACCCCAGGGCGGTACGGACCAGGGAGCAGGCCCCAGGTGATTATCCCCCGCCCTGAGTACTCGTCTTGTAGCAACTCCGCAGCCTTGGCGCCCAGCCCAGAGAAGCCATCGTGCAGGTCACACAGAATCTGGAAGCCCTGGAGGTGAAAAGGGAAAGTGGGCAGGATGAGGGAGGTTTCTACGCAGTGCCCACCGTGCCCCTCAGCTACCTGCAGGTAGTCACACTCCTCCACGTAGAAATGCAGCCTGTCCTCCAGCTCTTCCAGGTACTTGGGTTCCTTCAGGATGCTCTCCCCTTGGCCAAAAGCCTCCAGGCGGCCTGCTTCCCTGCGGTGCAAAACCACAGTCTGGGACTTACAAGACTCCCCCACTTCGATCTTTCTGCCTATGATCTCGTTTTGGAGGAGGGCAGGGAAGATGGCCTCAAGAGCCTCATCCAGCACTGGCGGGGACCCAAATTCTTGCCTTACAGCCTCTAGCTCCCTACCCCACCACCACCACGCCTCGTACCCATCATGGTTGTATTTGTGAATCATACAGATGCTCCGGGGGTGGAGATGGACTCTGAGGAAGTCTGACCAGACTCTGATACTGCCCTCTGTGGGTATAACTGGTTTTGGAGTGCCAGCGTTGGTGAATGGTGGGGGACCTGAAGAAAAAGAGGCAGTGTGCCTTTGTGTTCCTGCACCGCCCAGTCCCCACTCTGCAGTCTCTGGAGAAGTCTCACCTTTGCCATTGGGAATTGATTTGACCCTCCAGGTACCATCACTACTCAGCACTCCCTGGGAGGGATGAGAAAATCCACATTTAGGTCCAGGCAGTCTAGAGGCAAACACTGATTTATTCTCCCTTTTTTTTTTGCTGGCCACACCCTGTAAACCTCCTTCATGTTCTCGTAGTAGTAACAGTCCTTTAGGAGGAAAAAAGTGCTTTTTCTTAACATATCATTCTAGGGCACTGAGGGTGCCCCAAATTCTCTTTTTCTCTGCCCCAGTGGAGGTGCACTGGTTGTAGCATTGGGCTTACAAGATCAGGACAGAAGTCCTCACCTCTGCACTCAGAAGGTCCTGGAGATAAGGGTTCTTGGGATAGAGTTCCTCTTTGTGTGTGGTGAGCTTCCCTTGCCTGAAAGAAAGTGGAAATTGATCCTAGTGTCAGCTTCCTTGAGTTCTCCACCTTCCTGTGCTCCTTCCCAACTCCTCTCCAAAATCACAAATACCATGCTATTGCAGCATCTAGCTGTTTGTCCCTGTAGAGTCCACCTTCTTGCTTTAGGGAGCTCAGACTACCTGTACAAAAATAATAAGCAATGTTAGGTAAATCCCAGCCCCTCCCGTCCTGCAGCTAACCTTCCACTCATCACCTGATAACCTGCCGTCAGCCTCACTCCAGCACTTGGCCTTTCCAAGCTTTCTTGTAATATACATGGACTAGAAAAAACCCTTGCCTAGGAAAATTTGGATTCCATCCTTCATTTCCCAGCTTAGTCATTAGCTGTGGCAAAGACCACAACCAGCGGTTCTAGGGGAGAGCCACAGCTGAGCATCACGCTGTCCAGGGACAAGAAGCCCATTCCAGAGATAGCTCTTGAACGGAATAGTTTTCCTTTCTTGCGTCCCCTCAGGTGTCGGCATACTGTGGTTAGCTCTCCCTATGGCTCCTCATCTCTAGTCCCACAGGCTAGTATAGTCGGAGTCAAGGATCTTGACGCGAACCGCTGCTAGAAACTCCACACGCGAAAGGGAACTCTGGTAACTGGCCGACCCGGGCCACCACCTAACCCTTCAGATCCATGAGGATGAGTCTCGGCGTGTAGGTCTCTTGGCCATGTAACGTCCGGCCGGTCCTGTACAGGACGTCGGGGCACAGCTCTCCCGGCGGCTCTTTGGCATCGGTCGGCCTGCACAACGCAGCATCCTGAGGAGGCACAGAGAAGGACTGGACTCGGGCGGCGAGAGGATCAGGCCAGAAGCAAGGACTTCTGGAGACCCGGAAAACTCAGCTGAGGCGGCCAAAAGACCTTACCTGCTGGTTCCACCAGTGTGCTCCCACGAAACCCGCAAAATGTCCCAACTGCAAAGTGAGGACCTCCCGAGCCCCGCCCGCCATGCCGCGCGGCTCCGCTGAGTAGAACGCCCGCTCCCTGCCCACCGTTGCTTCTTGCGGATTGGCTCAGCGGGATGTGGGTGGGGCCTCATCCCCGGCGTCCTATTGGTGCATAAACACATCCTTTCCCGTAGGATAAAAAATTCGTTGGCTTTAAAGACCCCGCTTATCATACCCCGCCTCTTCCTAGCGTGGACCAGTCCTGCTTACCAGTTGTCGTCCAGGGGCGGGGCCCCGCGGCGTTTGCCGGAAGTGGTAGGCAGGCGTGCTCAAGCGCCATGCTTGAAGCGTTTTTGGTTCGGAGTTCTCTGCGTCTCACGTGGGGTCTCTGGCGTTGCTCACTGAAAATTCTCATACATACTCCTTGCGGCTCTTGCAGCTGTTGTTTCTTCTTTCAGAGGGTACTTAATGCTGGCTAATAGCGCCTCAGGCAAAAAATAAAACCTTGCGGGAAAACAGTACTCCTGGAGGACTAAATGGTAACCCACTCCAGTATTCTTGTCCCTGGGAAACCCATGAAGAGAGGATCCTCGCGGGTTACAGTGCAAAGGGTCGCAAAGAGTGGGACATGACAGAGCACAGCACAGGAAATAGACGCTTACTTAAACCCTCACATGCGTTTTCTTCTTCTGTCCAAAAGTCATAGCCTTCCTGACTGACCCAGTGACTGACTCCCTCGCTCTATTATCTGTCTATTATGTAAGTCAGTCGGAGTACGTATTCTTTTGCGTCTGCCTTTTGCTCAGTATTGTTAAATTCTTCCCTGTTGTTGCATATACTTAGAGTAGTTCATTTTCATTGCTTCAGAATTCCATCTTATGATTATACCTCAAGTGATTCTCTGCAGATAATAGACTTTGAAGTTGTTTCCAATTTGGGACTAGTAGGTGCAGCGGTTAACATTCTTGTGCATGTGGACATGTACACATTTCTGTTGTGTATATACCTAGGAGTGTAATTGTTGGGTCATGAGGATGGATATGTTTGGATACGGTAATTAATAAATGTCTCTAAATTTACAGTTTCACCAGCAGTATAGAGAGTTTTCAGGTGATGTTCCATAACCTTGCCAATATTAAAAAATTTTTGTCATTATCATTGATTTTATTTTCTTGATTATCGGTGAGATTGAGAGTATCTTTTTGTATGTTCATCACCTTCAGATCACCAGCCCAGGTTGGGTGCATGAGACAAGTGCTCGGGCCTGGTGCACTGGGAAGACCCAGAGGGATCGGGTGGAGAGGGAGGTGGAAGGGGGGACCGGGATGGGGAATACATGTAAATCCATGGCTAATTCATTTCAATGTATGACAAAACCCACTGCAATGATGTAAAGTAATTAGCCTCCAACTAATAAAAATAAATGAAAAAAAAAATAAATAAATAAAAACCAAAACTTTTTTGGAAACCTAGAAATTAATCAAAGGCTTGCAACAAAGACATTTATTCATGAAAAATGGATGAATCTCAATAAAAACAGTAAGCTTTAAAAAAAAAAAAGAATAGTCAGTTTTGTGAGGTATAGAGCATGTTCAAGTCTCTTGCTCATGTTTCTTTTGGGTTGTCTCATCTGTTTGTAGGGTAAGTATTTGGTTCTGAATACAAGACCCTTGTCAGTTATACGTGTTGAAAATATCTTCTCCCACCGAATTGTATTAACTCTTCCACTATGTCAGTTTTTGTTTTCTTAGGCTATGTTATTAATACATACTACTTTATATTTCCTGATGGATTGAAATTTCCACCATTACAAGCTTTCCCTCTTCTTCTCAAATAATGCTGTTTTACCTTAATACCTGTTTTGTTAGTAATATAGATGAACCAGTTTTCTTTTGGTTAGTGTTTGCATTGTATAATTTTTTTTTCACTTGTAACTTTAATTTGTAATTTGAAGGCAGTATAGGCCAGAAGCAAACACCAAGATGGGAGTATACATGTATGTGCCTTGTCAGGGAAATGCCTGTGTGGAAACATCTCAGGGAACCAGAGGAGGCTGGGAGTCTCAGGCCTTGAGGAAGGTATGAACCTAATGAACAGTAGAGTGAAGGAAGAAGTCTGCAGTTTGTTTGTTTTTAACCCTTATTGAGATGTTATTTATATACATTAAATGATTTGAGGTGTCATTTATTTATATCCATTTTAAGTGTTTGATTTTGTAAATACAGAGCTGTGCAGTTATTACCATAATTCAGTTTTTTTTTTTTCAGGACACTGGATGAGGCTTTATTTACTAGTTAACTAAGAACAATGCACCAAAGTGCAGCATGGACCGCCAGAAACACCCGCGAAGAGAGCCATTCACCTGTAGAAATAAGAGCAGCCATTTCTAAGAGGCGGGAGCTAGGGCGCCCCCTGCAGTATCAGAGCGCAGTTGCTGACGGTTCACTTCCTGGAACTGCGAGTGGCCTTCCTTGCCCTCAGGGGCTGGCCCTGGTCTTTTGGTGGCCGCTGAACTGCAGTCAGGCGCAGCCTCAGGAAGCACCAGCCGCCGAGTTCGCATCCCTGAGGATCCAGCATCGCTGAGGGATTTCAGTGGCAGCCTGGGCGGCAGGGCACACAAGGCACATAATTCAGTTTTAAATAATTTACATCATCCCCAAAAGATTCTTCCTGTGTGATTACAGGTAAACTCTGTTCCTACCCCTAACACCAGGCAACCACTAGTCTACTTTTGCCTTTATAGATCTGCCATTTCTGGACGTTTCATATAATTATACAAAAGGTGGTCTTTTGTGCTTGGAGTCTCAGCATAAGGTTTTTGAGTTCCTGTGTTGTAGCATGTGTTAGTATTTTGCTCATTTTTGGTAATCCATTTTTAAGTTGAATAGTTGGATTATTTTCACTTTTTAGCTGTTATGAATAATGTTACTATGAATAGTCTCATACTGCTTGAACACAACTCTTGTGTGGACATATTTTCATTTCTTTAGGGTAAATACTTAGGGGTGAAATTGCTGGCTCATGGGACAACTTCATGCTTAACATTTTTAGGAACTGCCAAACTGTTTTCCAAAGTTATATTTCCATTTTATATTGGCACTTGAAATGTTAGAGGGTTCTTTTTTTTTTTGTCCTCCGGGGTGGTGTGGTTTGTGGGATCTTAGTTCCCTGACCAGGGATTGAACCTGGGCCTGCAGCAGTGAGCGCATGGATTCCTAACCCCTGGACTGTCGGGGAATTCCAATCAACGGTTCCTTTTTCTTCACATCCTTCCCACCACTTAGTTGTTTTCTGATTTGTAGATATTCTAGTGGGTGTGAAATCATATTTTATTGTGGTTTTAATTTGCTCCTAAATCACTGGTGATTTTGAACATCGTTTCATTATCTTGTCAGCTACTGATATGTCTTCTTTAGAGAAATGTCTAATCAAATTATTTATTTATCTTCTTATTAATGAGGGAATTGTTTTTTATATATTCTGGGTAAAGTCTTTTATCAGACGTATGATTTACAGATATTGGCTCCATCTGTGGCTTGTCTTTTCATTTTCCCAGTGAAAATAAGTTTTAAAATCTTGATAAAATCCAGTTTATCAAATTGGATTTGTATAGCTCACATCTTCACATGGAAGAAATATTTGCCTAATTTTTATATAAATCACAGCTTCATATGAAAGAAATATGTGCCTAATTCAAAGTCATAAGGATTTCTTCATGTTTTCTTTTAAATGTTTTATATTTTACTTTTTATATTAGGTCTGTAATCTATTTTGGATGTCTAATGTGAGGTAACAGGCAAAATTCATTTTTTTTTGCATGTACATATCCAATTATGGTTTTATGTCTTTGTTGAAAATCAATTGACCATAAATATAAGGGTTTGTTTCTGGACTCTCAATTTTGTTCCATTGTCTTCCTTATGCTAGTGTCTTTGACTGTGTGGATCACAATAAACTGGAAAATTCTGAAAGAGATTGAAATACCAGACCACCAAACCTGCCTCTTGAGAAACCTGTATGCAGGTCAGGAAGCAACAGTTAGAACTGGACATGGAACAACAGACTGGTTCCAAATAGGAAAAGGAGTACGTCAGGGCTGTATATTGTCACCTTGCTTATTTAAGTTATATGCAGAGTACATCATGAGAAACGCTGGGCTGGAAGAAGCACAAGCTGGATTCAAGATTCCCGGGAGAAATATCAATAACCTCAGATATGCAGATGATACCACCCTTATGGCAGAAAGTGAAGAACTAAAGAGCCTCTTGATGAAAGTGAAAGAGGAGAGTGAAAAAGTTGGCTTAAAGCTCAACATTCAGAAAACTAAGATCATGGCATCCGGCCCCATCACTTCAAGGCAAATAGATAGGGAAACAGTGGAAACAGTGGCTGAGTTTATTTTTTTGTGTTCCAAAATCACTGCAGATGGTGTTTGCAGTCATGAAATTAAAAGATGCTTACTCCTTGGAAGGAAAGTTATGACCAACCTAGACAGCATATTAAAAAGCAGAGACATTACTTTACCAACATAGGTCTGTCTAGTCAAGGCTATGTTTTTTCCAGTGGTCATGTGTGGATGTGAGAGTTGGACTATAAAGAAAGCTGAGTGCCGAAGAATCAATGCTTTTGAACTGTGGTGTTGATGAAGACTCTTGAGAGTCCCTTGGACTGCAGGGAGATCCAACCAGTCAATTTTAAGGGAAATCAGTCCTTAATATTCATTGAAAGGACTGATGTTGAAGCTGAAACTCCAGTACTTTGGCCAGCTGATTTGAAGAGCTGACTCATTTGAAAAGACCCTGATGCTGGGAAAGATTGAGGGCAGGAGGAGAAGGGGACGACAGAGGGTGAGATGGTTGGATGGCATCACCAACTCAATGCACATGAGTTTGGGTAAACTCCGGGAGTTGGTGATGGACAGGGATGCCTGGCATGCTTTGGTTCATGGGGTCGCAAAGAGCTGGACATGACTGAGCGACTGAACTGAACTGATGCTAGTGCCACTTCATCTAAATTACTATACCTTTTAAAAAAATTTATTTGGCTGCATCAGGTGTTAGTTGCAGCTTGTGGGCTTCTCTCTAGTTGTGGCGTGTGGGTAGTTGCTGCTTCTCAGTAGTTGCTACATGTGAGTTTAGGATGGCATGTGGGATCCTAGTTCCTCAACCAGGCATCAAACTCGTGTCCTCTGCATTGGAAGGCAGATTCTTAACTGCTGGACCACCAAGGACGTCCTTTAATTACTGTAGCTTTTTTTTAAAATTTATTTTTAACTGGAGGATAATTGCTTTATAATGTACATTACATTCTGAAAGTAGGAAATTCCTCCTTCTTTGGTCATTTAAAAAATCATTTTGGTTTTATTTCCGTATCAACTTTAGATTGGTTTGTCAATTTTTGCAGAAAAGCCTACTGAAATTTTAATATTGATTGTATTGAATTTTTGGTTCAGTTTGGGGGAGAATTAATAATATCTTAACACTACAGAGACTTGCAGTCTATGACCATGGACTCTCTTTTCATTAATTTAGATTTTTAAAAATTTCCTCAGTAATATTTTATAGTTTCTGGTGTATGTCTTGCACTTCTTTTGTTCAGGTTGCCAAGTACTTAATTTTCCTGTATTTTTGGAACAGAATTAATTAATTTCATTTTTGGATTTTTCACTGCTAGTATAGAGAAATGCAATTGGTTTTTGTATAGTAATGTTGTAGTATTGTGACTCTGTTGAATGTTTTTAGTTCTAGTAGATGTTAGTTCTAGGAGTATGTTACCTGAAAATAAAGATAGTTTTGCTTCTTACTTTTGATTCTAATTCATTCCACTTGAGTGATGAAAAGCCCCCAGAGACCAGCTATGCAGCAGGCTTAGCATGGAGGCAGTAAAACTTGGGGCTTGAGGATCAGGTCTGCAGTAGAAGGATCTTAAGAAGCAAAGGGGACTTGATAGGGTAGATGATAGAGTATTTGGAAAAAGATGGTTTTGTATTTAACATTGCAAAAGTAATGAGGTAATTATTCAGTAAGGATTTTGTACATAAATGATAGTATACCATTCCACATTCATTAAAGGGAATGAAGCGTATTGATTATGAGCTTGGTCTTCCAAAGATGAAAGCATTTCCTGGCCTCATGTGCAGCGAAGGATCAGGCTTGCAGTCAGTTCCTGACCAGTAACCATCTGGTAAGGGTAAGGGTAGTGACATCTTGCTTTTTTGGGAGGGAAGAGAAAGTCCTGGAGTTTTTAGGGGCTAGCTGCCATTGTCAGGATAGGCTGCATTGTCAGTGTTCTAGTAGCCCTGCTGACTTTATCACAACAGCCCCCCCTGTGTGGTTAGGATGTGGTCAGTGGCTGCTGACCTTGTGACACTGTACCTCTTGGAGGTCCTGTGTGCTACCTATTTCCTTTTCTTTTTCTTTATATATTTATGGCTCTGCTGGGTCTTCATTGCTGTCTCTAGTTGCAGTGCATGAGCTTCTCCTATTGCAGAGCAAGGGCTCTAGAGCGTGGGCCCAGTAGTTGTGATGCGCAGGCCTGGTTGCCCCTCAGCCTGTATAATCTTCCTAGACCAGGGATGGACCCTGTGCCCTCTGCATTGGCAGGTGGATTCTTAACCACCATCAGATCACCAGGGAATTCCTTCCTTTTCTTTTTAAATTCCTTAGAGCAGGCATTGGATTTATAATTAAAAAAGACAATTTCCAAGATATGCAGAAACATCAAGGTATAAAAGTACACTACTGTGTTAAGAAAATATATGTATTTTTAGAATTTTTTCTCTAGAACTTGGTTGCTTCTAGGGAGCTGAGAGGACATAAACCTGATATTCCATGAAATGTTTTTGTATGGTTTAAACTTTGTAACCCATTGTTGTTGTTCAGTTGCTATGTCATGCCTGATTCTTTGCGACCCCATGGACTGCAACATGCCAGACTTCCCTGTCCTTCACTTTACCTCCCGGAATTTGCTCAAAACTCATGTTCACTGAGTCAGTGATGCTGTGTAATCATCTCATCCTCTGCCGCCCCCTTCTCCTCTTGACCTTAATCTTTCCCAGGATTAGGGTCTTTGGCAAAAATAAAGACATACTGAAGCCAGTGAATGACATTAAGGGAACCGCATGTTGTGCTGTTCAGAAAGCTCACTGAGGCAGCCTGGTGAAAGGGAGGAGCCAGGAGTAGTTAGGAGCAGAGAAACAAATCAGCAGATGATAATAGTAACTCAAACAAGAAGTGGTGGGGTTATGTAATAAGGATGGAGAGGAGGAAGTGCGTTTGAGCTATCAGTCAGAGAAGCAGAACCATGTTATTCAATAAAAAGGATCTGTTAAATGGATTCAGGGTTTCCAGTTGTGGCAGCTGGTTAAACAGTGTGTGTAAGGGTGCTTTCTGATGCTATAACATCAGTCTAGCTAAACTGGGGGTTGGTCAGGGATGGAGTTTCATTTTTGATAGGGAATCCTTGAAGAGGTGGTTTGGGGTAGGGATAGGGACAGCTGGCTGTCTAGTGAAAAATGCGGATATACATTCAGACTCTCTCATGGTAATAGTTCAGATAAAGCATTAATAAAATCCAGGTTATAAATGGTAGCTACCTATTATTTAATGCAGACCCACTATGTGTGAGACACGTGACATATGTTATTTAATCCTCACAAAATCCCTGAAAGTTTAGCATTATTATTACCTTTACATAAGGTGAAACAGAGATAAGGTAAAATTAGAGAAGGAAATAGGGTAAGACAGATAGTTAATAAGTGGCTGGCTAAGTCACTTCAGTCGTGTTTGACTCTGTGCGACCCCATGGACGGTAGCCCTCCAGGTTCTTCTGTCCATGGGATTCTCCAGGCAAGAATATCGGAGTGGGTTGCTGTTCTCTTCTCCAGGGGATCTTCTCTACCCAGGGATCGAACTGGTGTGTCTTAAATCTAACCTGCAGGTGGCAAGGTTTCGTGGTAAACCTGCATTTACCACTAGCGCCACCTGGGAAAGTCCAAAAAGTGGGAATCAAACTTCTGACTATAACCAGCCACCTGGACCTGGTGAGAGAATCAGACTCTTCTGAAATTGATGTGAATCTGTTTTCTCAAATCTCAGAAAGATGGTAACAGATAATACCATTCTATTAACATATGGATTAAAGATGTTAATTCATTACATACAGTGTATGCTGTATGGCAGTGGTCCCCGACCTTTCTGGCACCAGGGACCAGTTTCACAGAAGACAGTATTTCCACACTGGAAGAAGGGGAGGCAGGATAGATTTGGGGTGATTCATGCACATTAGACTTCACTCTGCACTTTATCTGTGGCCGTGCTGGGTCTCTGTTGCTGTGCACCAGCTTTCTCTAGTTGCGGTCAGTGTGGGCCACTCTTCATGGGGGCGCGAGGGCTTCTCATTGCAGTGGCTTCTCCTGTTGCAGAGCACAGGTTCTAGGTGCTTCGGCTTCAGTAGTTGTGGCTCTTGGGCTCTAGAGTGTGGGCTCAGTAGTTGTGACGTCCGGGCTTAGTCGCCCAGTGGCAATGTTGGACCAGACAAGGGATTGAACCGGTGTCCTGCAAACTACAAGGCAGATTCTTAACCCCTGCACCACCAGGGAAGCCCTACTGTGCACTTTATTAATATTCCATCAGCTCCACCTCAGATCATCAGGCATTAGATCCTTACAGTCGGGGACCCCTGCTCTGGGGGTTTAGAACTTACTTCTTTCGGGAAGCTGTAGAAAGGGGCTGTACCATACAAAGCTGCCAGACTCAGCTGGAGTTTGAGGAAACTTCTCAGGGACCATGATATGAGTAAACAGGAAGTGAATGGTCTGGGAGAGATGAGTTAAACTGTGGGTCCCAATCTCATAAAATGAATAAAGACTGGAAAATTTCTGTAGAATTTAGTCTCTTCAGACCCTCAACAAGCAGAATGCCAAAGAAATTCAATTTGGCCAATTCCAAATAGGCTCTTTCCATCTTATAACACAACACTTTAAGAAACATACTTAATTTAATTTTTAAGAAGAAGCTACATGATTATTTAAAATGTGAAAACCACATCTGATAAACTGGTGTTAGTTTCAGGACATCTTGTTGCCATCATAGTCCCATTACAAGGAAGCCACCGCAACAGAGGCTGGGAGCTGACTGCTGTCCTGCTGGCTCGACGCGTGCAGGCGCCGGGCCGCTCTTGTATATTGTGGGGCCTCCCATCTGACCGGTCCATGAAAGAAACATCCATTGTCTCCCGTGCACTTTGTGACCATGGCTTAGAGGTAGGCACAGAGCCGCTCCAGCAGCCCGGGATTCCTATTACTTAGGAACAGCAGCTCCTTCTTTCCTTCTTCTGTATGAGCTAAAATAGAATAAACATAGATAATTGGCCGATTTCTCCTGCAGCATTGTTACTCAGCAAAATCTAGAGTCAGAGGCTACGTTATCCAAGTTATATTCTGATGTAATTAATACTCCCAAGACCTCACTTCTAGACCCTTTATTCTGCCCCCCTACCCAAGTATTATTTTTTCTGTGCATAATTTTCTTTTCTGTCTGTTCCTCCAACCAGCATCTAACCCTCCCTCTGTTCCAAAACTATACTCTGGACTTGAAGGCCTCTTGAGAAACCTCACCATTGTGCCTCCTAAATCATCATGCTGCAGAGACTTCATACACTCCCCCTTATTCCTCTAATAACCTATCCCATTTGCAGCTAATTCTCTATTATCTAGTGATAAAACAACCTTTCTTCTTCCTCTACCCCCTACCCCACACACCCCCAGAACTAAGGCCAAGGATAAAACGAGCAGCTAGAACACTTTCATACACAAATACTAGGACAGGTGTAGCAAGGATCTGGTCTGGTGCTGGAGTAACTTCTCACGCGGCGTCAGTTACTCTGCGGTGCCCCAGCACCTAAGTCTCTCAGCCCGGGTTTCTGAGTGCCGGGTGAGTGCCACACCGAGAGCAGCCCGCACCTGCAAACTGCCAGTGGCTGCGCTTGGCCGACCTCCGCTATTAGCGTGAGCACCTTATTCCAGAGTAATACAGGAAGTTTAGGGAGAGATGTGATGTCTCATATAAATTCAACTTTAACCACCCTCCAACCTCACACTTTCTTTACTATCTAATCAGCCAGGAAGAGGTCAAGATAGAAGGGAAAAAAGCTGAAAAACAAATTACAGGCTGCTCCTGAGGGAAGAAATCAAGGGTCTGACTCAGTGGGGTTCTTCTGTGAGAGGAAAAAATTAAGCAACTGACCTTTCTCATGTTGAAGCCAATTGTTCTCCAAATAATACTGAATACAACCTTCAAATTCCTTTGGGTTATAGTTGGAAACCAGGATGGGAATAAAGGGATCCAGGGTATCAAATCCTTCCTGGAGAAGACAAAGGATAAAGAAACAGTATTCATTAAGTGACAAATTGGTGTTTATTTAAACACTTTTGAGGGCAAGGGCTTTGCTTTTGTTCTGTTCTACCTGATTTCACATTCTCTGGGCCTGGTTACTGTTGTTCTACCTGGCCACACACAGTATGTTTAAAAAAGAGAGAATGCTTGAGACATGGGGGCAAGGGGGGCGCCACTTATCTGAGAGTATAACGCATAAACATATACGTCTGCAACTTTTTGCAATTCTAACTTCAATAGTCAACAATAGTTTTGATACTTCATATACTCCAAAACAAAAAAAACAAACAGTGACAAGGATGGGGGGAAAAGATCCTGAATGGCATATAAACCGAAACAAATGAATCAAATTGTATTTTAAAGTTCAAACATAACACTGAAGGGAGAAGGGGAGCTAACAGAAACTTAACTTGTGAATAGAGCATTTGAACTAAAGACTCTGGCTCCTGTCTGACACTTTGCAACCCCATGGGCTATGCAGTCCCTGGAATTCTCCAGGCCAGAATACTGGAGTGGGGAGCCTATCCCTTCTCCAGCAGATCTTCCCAACCCACGAATCAAACCGAGGTCACCTGCATTGCAGGCGGATTCTTTACCAACTGAGCTATCAGGGGAGCCCAAAGACCCTTAGGCTAAAGATAAAAACTGCTCTAAAACATAGTGAAACTAAATAAAAGGAAAACAAAATTTGTACTCTAATGTCTGGCAAGGAATGTCTCCTTGCCAGTTAGGGCCAAGACCCAGGCTTGCTGAGAGCAGAGGCCCTCCCAGTCCCCAGGCTGATCTTACGAGGAGGCTGCAGAAAGCTGGGCAGCCACCATCAAGAAGGCCCTGCCAGGGGCCAGAACTCCTTTGCCAGTGTAGATTCCTCAAGTCGGGACTGTATAACTAAACCAGTTGCATGTTTGTTTTTTTTTTAAACAGCTTTTTTTCCCCCAAAATGCTTTGTAGTTGTGTGTGCAGCACTTTGTCCTGATATGTGTGCTGTACAATAAGAACCAAACCTAATATATTTTTTGGGGAAAGAAACAAACCACTTCTTACTTACAGAGAGGCAAGGGTTAGCAGTTCTGAAATTACTTTTCCTATAATCTAAGATTGAGCTAATATGTAAATACACTGTGAATGAGAGCAGAGTTCTTATTATTGGAGATGAGGTTTTCAAATATAGAAAGCGGGAAGGATATAATGAATGCTGTGATGCTAGCCCAGAATTAGAAGCATGAGACTTCTGGTTTTTTTAATACAGAGAAGACATGTGTGCTTATGTATATAGAAACACATGTGTATACAGAACATATACACATATAGGTATGTATGTATATATGAATAGTGTATACATCTACTTACTGACTCTGCTAGAGGGCCTAGAAGAAGTGACACCCACATCCTAGTACCAATAAGTATACCCAGCACTCAAGTCTTGGTTTCTAAATACCATTCTCCTCCAAAATGAACCAAAGCTCCTTGAAGAAATGGCTGATTTTAGCGCAGGAGCATGGAAAATACAAGATGAATCTGGAACATATTCTTGTGCCTAAGGTAAAGAAGTGCTTAGAAAAGATGGGGACAGAGGAGGAACGGTATGGAGAAAAATGATGACGACATGTTAAAGGGACATAGAAGCCAAGCCAGCTTCAAGGGTACCTACTGGCCAAGTCCGGGATAACTTAAGCACTAAAATAAATAATGATAGTCAAGGTTTGTGTGTGCATGTTCAGTCGTGTCCGACTCTTTGCGACTCCATGGACTGTAGCCTGCCAGTCTCCTCTGTCCATGGAATTTCACAGGCAAGAATACTGGAGTGAGTTACCATTTTCTCCTCCAAGGGATCTTCCTGATCCAGGAATTGAACATATGTCTCTTGTGTCTCCTGGACTGGCAGGCAGATTCTTTACCACTGTGCCACTTTTAGAATCCATTAAATAAGAATCCACATTCTTATGTGTAGCAACAAATATATAAATATATAATGCAGAAAGGAAAATTCTTAAATATAAGAGAGGGTCAACTGATAGCTTTAGTAGTAATGATGGAGCTAGAAAATATCCATCTTATAACTGTCATGCAATTTAGGGCAAAATCACTAATGAAAACTAAAACTGCTAAGGGGAAGCTTGAGGAAGTCTCAAAGTATATCTTCATGAGATATTTATTTATTACGAAAGGAAAAGAGTAACTGTGGTAAGGAGAAATCAAGTGGACAGCACCTTAACCAAGTGTTCAAAGTTTATACTGCCAGTAACAGGAGAAATAAGCTTTCAGATATTATGCACTGAGAAGACACAATATAACTTCTAACATCCCATCATCCCATATACTCAAGAAAAACACATCAGACAAACCCACAAAATAACCCAACATAAGATAAATAACATATACTCTTCAAAAACAGAGATATAAATATGGAGGTTATAAAAGACAGGATCTGCAGCAGATTAAAGGAGACTAAAGAGACATGACAGTAAGTACAATGCATTATCCAGGGCTTTCTTTCCCTGTAAAGAATACTAGAAAACTGGCAAAATCAGAATATATTATATAAATAACAGTCAATGCTAATTTTCTGATTTTGGTCATTGGGATGTGGTTATACATTAGAATATCTTTGATTTTAGAAAACATGCATATAACATGGGCTTCCCTGATAGCTTAGGTGGTAAAGAATCCACCTGCAATGTAGGAAACCCTAGTTCAATTCCTGGGTCAGGAAGATCCCCTGGAGAAAGGCTAGGCTACCCACTCCAGTATTCTGGGACTTCTCTTGTGGCTCAGCTAGTAAAGAATCTGCCTCCAATGCAGGAGACCCAGGTTCGATCCCTGGGTTGGGAAGATCCCCTGGAGAAGGGAATGGCTACCCACTCCAGTATTCTGGCCTGGAGAATTCCATGGACTGCACAGCCCACGGGGTTGCAAAGAGTTGGACACAACTGACAGACTTTCACTTTCACTTCCAAGAGAGAAAAGAGGGCATCATAACTCAGGTTACTATCACATAATTCAGAAAAAAAAAAAAAAGATGGAGAGAAAGAGTAAAGCAAACATGGTGAAGTGTTAACATTTCAGAAATCGAGTTAAAGTGCAGAGGAATATGATTTTTTTCCAAGTCTGAAATTATGTCCATATATATATATGTGTGTGTATCTTCAGACAGAATAACTAAGGTAAACAAACTTTCCAGTGATCGGACCTTTCCCAGCAACTCCTGGGGCAGATAGGCTTTCCGGGGCTTAAAGAGAGACCCAGTCTGGCTCACAGTCAACACAATGGCACCTCCTTGCTGAAAGAAAGGAGAAAAAGCTGAATTTCAGCAAGTCAGAAAAATGCATTTTAATCATCTGCAGATTTTTTTTTGGCCATATAGAACAGTTAAATGGCAACTAAATTATTAATTTGAGATTTGACTCTGACAATAAATTGCTACATGATCTTAAATTTATCAAAATCCTCTCCAAAGTTGGTAAGAAATAAAAACACCTTGAACAAATGCACTAAAGTGTAATTATGCCAATATTTTTAAAAAATGGTTTTGAATAAGTGTACTCCAGCCAAGTGGAGAGATAAGCCAAATTACAGACATTAAATAAGATAGAAGAACTTTCTGTCCATGTAAATTAGAGACTGGTAAATATCAACAATGAAGCAATCAAACATCTTTAAAATGAAAATACATTTTTTTTCCTGAAATGTGTTAGGCATTGAATGTACTTACCCAATCATTTTTCACCATTTTCCTCAGGTTGTAAATAAGGGCTAGTTCTTCCGGGGCAATCTGCATATCGGTCAGTGTGTGAGAGGGAGGAGAGAGGAAGAGAAGAGAACATTGCCTGTTTACCTGGATGCTCTCTTGAGATAGCTGCACTAACAACAACCAAAAAGTCCTCAACTGGGATTTCTCTGGTGGTCCAGTGGTTAGGACTCCGTGCTCTCACTGCCAAGGGTCCAAGTTCAGTCCTTGATTGGGGAATTAAGATCTCACAAGCCATGCAGCATGGCCAAAAAACAACAAACTACATAACCGTGTACCTGGAGGTACAACTCTGGGATAAGCTACGTGGCCACTGGTCCTCAAACTGCCATGCTTCTGGAAATTAAAAACAGCGGAAAAAATAACCAGTACCCCAAACCACTTGTTTCCTTGATGCTTCTGATCGTCTCTGCTTAGAATAGGGAACATCATTTTGAAAAGAGAATAGAGAAAATTGTGAAAAGGAAACACAGCTTTTGCTGTCATGCTCTTGTTGTTCAGTGGATGATACAACATGGCATCACCTTGTCCTTCTGATACTATTTTCACTACACGTCTTATTTCAAATATTCCAAAAGCAAGAAAATATACTGCCTGGCTTAAAAGGCTATTTCCCAGCCTATGTATATAATGATTCCTGAAATCAGAGAAACCAAAATAGAGAAACTTAGTGTTCCTACCGGGCTTTTATCTTCTCTTTTCAGGGTGGTCCTTCCCCAGAGAGCATTGACTCCATCCACTGCCACCAGGAGGCGAAAAATACCCAGAGAACTTTGCCTCTTTAGCTCTTTAAGCACAATCCCAACTGCATCTGTGGCATTCCTCACTCGCATTATGCCCTGTAGGGGAAGAGAGACAGTGGACTGCAGTTCTACAAGAGGCTGTCTCTGGTTATCCTAGAGTACACGTTCAGTCTTTTTTTAATACCTGTTCAACTACTTCTGCCAGAGGACTGCCTTTCTCAGTGCTTTCTCGCTTATTCCAGACATACTTGTCTTGAACTTTTATCTAAAAATAAAATAAAGACCAAAAAAGGCCATTTAGCCTGAGGACGAACCCATCCCTAGCTAGGAAGGTAGGGTAGGAGGTTAAGGTTATTAGTAGTCAGCTTTGATCTATTTTTCAAGCAGAGTAAGAGACCTCAGCAGGAAGTGAATGCTTTCTAGCCCATTTCAGCCTGGAGAATAAAGAAACACAAGAAAAAACATAAGGGATTCTGATTTAAAAGGCCCAGGAAAAAGCCTTGCTATCTGCATTTTTAACAAGCTCCTAGGTGATTCTGACTTACATCAGAGTCGAAAACCCCTAGCCCAGAGACTGTGAACAAGAATCAGTACAAAATAATTTTACAAATCTGTTTCTGGTTCCTAAAAGATCTAATCTGGAAAAAGTTATGTAGTTGAAATGTACGTTAGAGGATTTTAGGCTGTCACCTTGGAAAAGTCAAAGAATCTATCTGGACTTCCTTTTGCTACACACCGGATGCAGACAGCTTACTGCTGCCTCTATTTCCCACACATAAAAGAGTTTCAGGGTATGAACTCGCTGTGAATAAATGTATCAAAGAAATAAAAAATGGTATAGTTATCCCAACTACAATATTAGTTCACCATAGTCTACTGGTACTTAGGGCACAAAGAAGATAAAATCTTAAGGACTGTCCAGCACCAAACTTCTGGGAATCTAGTCACCTGACTCAAGAAACGCTCATTTGCAGTTTTGAAATTCTTCAGCCAGATTGAAGCCTCTAAAGGTTGATCAAAGCGCTGTTTGTTGTAGGTGGACTGCAGAAGATCCCGGCAGTTTTTGACCCAAAGATGAGCTAATCAAAAGGCAAAAGAAGACAAACTAGGTAGGAACTGACTGTAATCAACTCAAAATACTCCATCCTCTTTCTGTTACGGGAGATGACTTTAGATTCCCATATATATTTCTTAAAGCCTTCCTGCTTCAGAGGTTTATTTTTTGATCTAGTCCATCATAAATATTATCACTATACACAATACACAAACAAATGGACTAAAGGTCACCTTAGCTTCTTGGCAGTGTTAGTTAGAATATGTCGATGCAAACAACACTGAACAAGACAAGGAGAGACAGGGACTTCCCTGATGGTCCAGTGATTAAGAATCTACCTGCCAATGCAGGGGACATGCGTTTGACCCCTGGTCTGGCAAGATTCCACATGCTGCAGAGCAACTAAGCTCATCCTCTGTAACTACTGAGTCCGCACACCGCAACGAGAGAGGCCACTGCAATGAGAAGCCCACATACTGTAACGAAAAGTAGCCTCTGCTCGCTGCAACTAGAGAGAGCCTACACACAGCAACGAAGACCCAGCGCAATCAAAAAGAAATAAAATTATGTATTAAAGAAACAAAACAAGGAGGGATATGTATGAAGTGTGAGAGTTTAAGTTTTAAAATTCATGCTGACAAGCAGTACCATGGTAAAGGCTCTGTGGGTCTCAAAGTTGTTAGCTGATGGCATAAAGCCTGTGGTGGACACAAAGGTGGGAGTTGATGCTCATGGGCATTAGGTAACTATCAGAGGACTGTGTTACCCAGAGGACTGCTGGGCCAAAATACTTCATTCTTATTATCAAAAGGTTCCCGAACTAGCTCACACCAATCTGCCTCTGGAGCAGAGACCTTTCCCTTAGTTGTCAGAGCCCTGCCAGAAAACTGAAGTCACAGTGCTACCACAGTAACAGAATAACTAACCCCAACACAGTGAGGGGAGGAAGTTCTTACCATCTGGAATATGCAGTATCAGCCAGTCTTGTTTTGCACAGAAATGAATAATATGGCAAAGACTGAGGGTTTTTCCTGTTCCCTTCTCGCCATCTAAAGCACTCGCTGTTAAAGAAAACACTACCAAAAGGGACACTTCCGCTGTCAACAAATAAAGCATTTCTTCTTTTCCCACATTTGAGGGAGGAAAGCATTGGCTCAGACAGCCCAGGCAAGTAGGAAAGGATACAGAGAACGTATCGTACAGCTGGATGAGCAAAATTGGTGTTTTTCAGGTAATGCAGAAGCTCGAGGGCTGGTTTCCTTACCATCAGGCAAGCTTCATTGAATGTCTTCACCTAACAAGATGGGAAAAGAGGGAGGAAAGGGTGGGGCTGGAACTTCTAGCTAGTTTTTGGTAATATACACCAAGCCTAATATAGCAACCATAGAATCAAACTGCCTACTTTTCATTTATTCAGCTAAAGGATGTTGGTATTGAATTTGAAAATTTAACCATGTAATTTAGCTAAAAATTAAAACACATCATCCCACACCAAGCACATTAACAGTCAGCTTTTGATTATTTCTGTAAATGAAGCATTAGTTGATTGAAATTTACAAATAATTGTGACGTCTCATAACATAACTATGCAAACTACTTAAGGCTGATACAAAATATTACAAGTGTGTAAAATGCTGAACAAGGTATCTGATACATGGTAATCATCAAATAAATGTTAATTCTTTAAAATTTATTTTTATCTAGTTCTTACTGTAACCACTTAGACTTTTCTCTGAACTATATATGTACCAGCTCAGGTTTGCCCCAGCTATGAGGCCATACTTAACAATACCAGCATATGGATATATCAGAGAACTAACACACAAAATTAATTCCTTTTTAAAAAAAATTAATCTCCTTTTTGCCACCAGGAATAGTTTGGTGGAAAAATTTGGGAAGCAGTGATGTGTGTGAAAATGGTTTGCAAATAAAGTATTTAATAATATGTATTGATAAAAATAAATATCTAACAAATACTACTCACAAGTATGTCAGATAAGGGTTAAAATAATGTTGTTGTTGTTGTTTTAAATCTTAACCAAACAACTGGATTGGAAAAGGACTTTGACAGGTAAGTTCAAACCTAACAGAAAGTGAAAACTTCAAAAACATGATACAGATATTAAAACAGAAATGCCGTTATTAGGCAATATGACAGTACTAAATACACAGACAATAGTGAGGGGGTTGGCTTTTTACGGAAATGGAAGCTATGGAAAGAAAGTATGAGCAATTCCCTCCAAAGCACTGGTGGGTAAGCCATTCTGAAAGCAACCTAGGATAAAGTTAGACCCTCAGAACCACGTTAGAGATTGCTCTATGAATGTCTTGGAACAGTTTAAAGTAATGATTTCTTCTAATTGTGTCCTATTTCCAAACAACAAAAATTTTGATGAGAGTCTATGCTCGAGAATTAGCTCCTTTACTGGTGTCTCATCTGATTTCTTGAAATAAAGCACACTGAAGAAATGACATCCTCTGACTTCTAAATATCACCTGCACATTCAAGTTTGATAATAAGAAGGAATAATTTCTGAGACTGAAAATAACTGAGCAGGAATTAGCCAGAGAACCAGTTTTGCCAATAAACCCTGCTTGCAGTTAATTGAATTCTTTCACTGGCTATTAAGGCAACCTAAGATCACATTCTTTGGGTTGACGTTATGACTACAAAACTATATTTTCTGAAAACCCATAAGACTGAAGAACAATGAGTGATGAATATCTAATTCATATATTGTTTCTGACTCATGAATACGTTTTTGTTTTTCTACTACTAGAAAATATTAACTATTTTCAGGGTATTTTGCTAAAGCAAATATTAAACTAATTTTTAACAATTTTTGAAGGCTGAAGTTTGTAGAAATCTGTTGGTAACACAAGAAAAAAGAGTGGGGTATTTTTATTTACTTAAGAATATTTTGCCTGGCTTCGAAAAGGATTTAAACTGGTTAACTTCAGATCTGCTTAAAGTAATAATAGTAACAGCACTATTCACAAAAGATAATCAATAGCTGAATTTATCTTTTTGAAGATTCAAATGAAATCTTTTAGTTTTCTACTCATTTAATTCCACTCCTCTGCTATCAACACCTCGTGCTACAAGCCCCCCAAACCCTCCTGTTTTGAGCACCTGCATTACAAAGCGAGGCGGCAGGCCGTGGGGGAGTGCGGTCTCCAGATCCTGGGCAGGGATGCTGTAGTGCCGACCCACATGCTGCTCCCCGTGCTTGGCCTAGGAGGTGCAAATGCAAACGAGCATAACGGAGACGGACAAAGACTTTAAAAAAGCATCACGGGCTTCCTAAACTCGACTGAGGAAAGAGTTCTCAGAACTGGAAAAGATATTCTATTCTTTCATTTCTTATCTTAGACAAAAATGTTCATTGTTGTCCCCAAATCCACACTGCATATATTGAACATAAAGCTTATATTGGCCTGAATGATGCAGTCAGTTGCTCAGCAACATAAACCCTAGATGTGGAGGGAGCAGAGACAATTCTTGCCATCTGGATTCTTCTGTGCTGTGTATAGAGATGCTCCAATCACGTGACAAGATCATCTGCATGCCACTGTTGCCATAGAAACCCCAGAGGAACTGGCAGATAAAGGGACTACAATTACAGGGAAAAGCTGAAAGGCACTTCAATGACTTCATTCACTTATCCTATTTCATTTTGTGCTTGTGAAAGTAGATGAACGCTAGAGACATAAATACAACACACCCTGCTGAGATGGTGTTTTGGGTTATGAGTTATGTTTTTTCCATTCCACATGTGCAGCATATGTTAAGATGCGGCAACTCAGAGGGCAAGGGTAGGAACAAAAAGGGAGAGAAAAACTATTGGTTCCCTTCACATTGAGGCACAGATCACACAACTAATTTCATTTATAAGAGGCAACAATAATACTGAGGAATGAGAAATAAGTGTTTAGCCTGATGGGACCTGAAGTAGAAAATGCAACCAGATTGATTACTAGGAAGACTGTGTTCTGATCTGCCCTGCTATGTGATCCTGGGCATATAAGTTGATTTCTTAGGATTCTCCAAACCAGGGTTGGTAAACTATGACTGGCTATCCATTTTCATAAATAAAGTTCTACTGGAGCACAGCCATTTGTTTATGGCAGAGCTAAGTAGCTATAACAGAGATCACTAAGTAGCTGTAACAGAGATCACTCTAAAATATTTATTATCTGGTCCCTGAAGGAAAAGTTTGCCAACCCATAATTCAGTAAGATCAATAATAACTACTAAATTTAACTTCTAAAATATTGAGTATTTAAGTGTTTACTAGGTACCCACTCTATATATAACAAAACTGATAGCATGAAGTGAGTTCAATGACAGACATTAAATTAGAACAGATACAGACTGATCTGCCTGAGTTGTATTACTAGAGTGTCAGACAGGGATGGGGAAGATGAAGGTTCCAGAATGCTGTCTCAGGTACATTGTCTGACTGTATGTAAATCTTACCTTCCTTTGGTTTCAGTTTTCCTGATATATAAAACAATGGCAAACAAATTATAAGCCCTGAAAAAAATCCATATACATATTAGCAACTCACCGGATCATTCTCAAGGGTGCGGGAAATAGCTCTGGGACTCTCATTTGGAACCTGGTTATTCAGATGAGCAACAAGGCACTGGGATGCCTGGGTCCCTAAGTGCAAAAAACGTCCAGGGTCCAACTATAAAAGAAACCGTTTTAGTTTTCAATTATTAGGCTTTTTATGCTTGCTACAACACTGAGGTTTAAAGCCATATCTGCAACAGGGGAAAATATTACTAACATGCATTTTAGTTTTATGTAAAACAGAACCCTGTTATTATTTATAATTCTCTAAGTCCAATCACATTATTCATACTCTGAATCTGTTCCAGCTGGTGCTGCTATGTCTGGGCACTGTCCCACATGGAAACAATTCCATTAGAGACTACTCAGGAGTATAGCTCAGCCATTAACAACTAGACTCAGGAAATTTCTTTTAATGCTCTTGCCCAAAGTGATGAATGGTGGCCAGTATTGTACAATTCCCAGCTGTCTAGTGATCCTAGTCACCTCAGTTATTAGGGGATTAGCGCAGTGTTCCTATTTGTCAGGTATAATTACACTTCCTGCAACAATGTGCTGGCTAGCTTTGCCCTGAAATAAAGAATCTTTGATTAGGACGAGTAATGAGGGAGTGTGCAAAGCATCCAGCTAAGTGAAAATAAATGCTCTACAGGCAAGCTGGTGACCTGCACATGGAAACCTCAAAACTGGGGGAAGGCTGGGGAAGAGGATGCAATTTCAGGAGATAAATCTAAGGAAAAGCTAAGTGGAGAACTCCTGAGCTGAGTTAGGATAACAGGCCTTGTTTATAAGTAAAGAGATGCCAGTTACAAGAGAAAGATTAGAGTATGGATCCAGCAGAGTCAGGACAGGGATGTGAGAGATGGTTACATTGAGGGAGTTTCTTGCTAGGTCAATAGGTAATATGAAAGCTGCCTGTATTTATATTCAGTCTCACTAAGCAGCTGCATGAATGCAGAAAATGTATATTATTTTTATACTACCTTTTGTAACACTTTTATCCATTTGTAAGACCTTTAACTCTGTAACAGCTTTTAAACTAGTATCTTTGAATCTTTCACAGTCCAAAAGATTTGTCCTCCAGAACAGGTTTCACCTTCAGCTAATGAAAACGTTGGGATGATTCTCTATTTATGTTAAAATAAGTCTCAAAGTCCTTAACATGATAATTAAGGCCACTGCTGTAAGTTCAACCTACCTTTCTAGTCCCACCCCTTTATAAAGTCTATACTCTAGCCAACCAACTGTGCTAAAACATGTTATTCAGTTTTATGCCTTTATAATTCTGCTCATTCTACTTCAACTTCCCTCTCTCCCTATTTAAATCTTACTCATCCTTTAAGACTCATCTCAAATGTCATATCCTTTGTGAAGATTTGCCAGACACCTCCAGGCAAAAGCAATTATTTTTCCCTCTCTATTGATAGCACTTTCTTTGTACTGCATGCATTTTTACTCTGCCTGTAACTACATTCATGGTTTTCATTAACCGAGTACCTAAAAAATGCTAGGCAACACATATACACATTATTTTTGAGCCAAGAATCCTAGAAGATAGGTAGAGTATTACACTGTTTTATTATGAGGGAAATCATGGTTCAGGGAAGTTAGATAATTTTGTCTAAAGTCACTGAGTTGGGAGGTTTTGAAACCAGAATCCAAATCCAAGTCTGTCTGACTCGAAAGTCTTTACCTTTATCTATCTTACATGTAAGTTTGTCTCCCATTTTAGGCCACACACACTTGGAAGAGAAGGGACTAGGTATTGTACATCTTTGTATCTACTTCTCCGAGAATCTAATGTACCAAAAATGCTTCATGCTCATGCCCTGGAATAAAAAATCTTTCTCAGAGACACGTGATGGGGGAGTACAGAAAGCATCAAGCTAAGTGAGAGTAAACCGCACTCCACTACAACTTGGTGAACTGCACATATAAACCTCTGAATCAGAATTCGCATACATTAATATTGAGTTGGCCAAAAGGTTCATTCTGGATTTTCTATAACATCTTATGGAAATTTTTTGGTCAACCAAATATAAAGTAATAGGGTAAAGTAATACAGTTGCTGCAATTTTGAGGATGCAGAGACAGCAATGTTTATCACCTATCTAAATACTCTAATCTCCCAGCTTCCTTTGCAGATAGATTGGGGTCACATTATTAGTTCTGCTAATGAGCTCTAAATCAAAATAACTTGGGTCACTTCTAGTCAGGAAGCTAAGAATGGGTAAAAATTCCCTTTTTCTTTTGCTGTGGCAAACTTAAATCTACAATGTGAGATCAGTTCAGTTCAGTCACTCAGTCATGTCCGACCCTTTGCAATCTCATTAACGTAGCCTGCCAGGCTCCTCTGTCCACGGAATTCTCCAGGTAAGCATATTGGGGTGGGTTGCCATTTCCTACTCCAGGGGATCTTCCTGACCCAGGGACTGGACCCAGGTCTCCCACATTGAGAACAGATTCTTTACCATCTGAGCCATCAGGGAAGCCCCCATATCTGCTTATAAACCAATTTTTATTTTTTTGGCTGCAGCGCAGAACATGTGGAATCTTAGTTCCCCGACCAGGGATTGAGCCTGTGCCTCCCACAGCGGAAGTTCAGAGTCCTAATCACTGGACAGTCAGGGAATTTCCTGCCTGTTAACTGTTTTGGAAATACAGCAACAGCAAGGGCAAAACAAAGCACAGACACAAAACACACAAAAAATACACAAAAAACAATATCAAGTGCTGAGTTAAGCCAATGAGAATTCAAGGCCTGTTACCTCAACGTAGCATCTGAACAATGCACCTTACTATTGATAAAATTTTTTCAGTTCTACTGCAGAGAAAATCATGTCTCCAAATAAAGTAGTATTCAAATGGAAAATTATATTCAAGGACCACAAGGTGGTGCTATTTCTACAAGAAACCTATGACGTTTTAGTTCAGTGTTTTTTTTGCAGCAAATTAAAAGCTAACAAAATGGACTCCTTACTCCTTAGTGTAATACATGGCATCACCTAGCTAACCTCTCGTTTCCGGGGTAAACAACCATCTGTACAACTGCTTCTGCACTGTTCCAGAATGAAAACCATGCAGTTCTTCAAAGAACAGCATTCATGAGCCAATAAAGGTTACTCTAAACCAATCTACAAAAAGCATAAAAATTTTCTCACTGACATTCCTCTGCAGTTTGGACTCAAGACTTTCTTGTCTGCTATTAAGGAAGAAGAAATTGTAGCCTTTTAATATAATTAGTTGGGGCTAGAGTCCATCCATTTGTTGATATTTCCTTTCATTTTCATTTTGTCTTATAAAAAGGGGTTATTTTATGCATATAGGTTTGTCATGAATCTCTGGGGAAAAGATGACTCCCATAAGAAGAAGCACTCCTTTTTAAGGAAATCTAATCTGCAATTAAATGATCAGATGGGAGTGACTAAGCCCTTCTGCTCAGTGCTCATTCTTCAGGATTTAGCTCTTTAGGATTTCCTCTGGATCCTACTAATCCAGTTAGGTGCCTTCACCATACTATGACAAAATCATTTAATCATGATTCTGCTACTGGATTTTGAGGTCTGAAAGAAAAACATGGGCCATAAAATGCAATACAGCAGAGTGGTTAAGGTCATAGCCTTTTAAGTCAGACAGACCTGCTATCTAGTCTGGGCTTGACAACTTCATACCATGTTACCTCAGGCAAGTTACTTAGCCATTCTAATCCTCAATTTCTGCATCTGCGAAACAAAGATATTATGTACCTTAGGGTTGATCATGAAGATTAAGAGAAATAAAGCACTTAGCACAGTGTCTGGCACATAATGAATGCCCAACAAACAGCAACAGTTATTAGTGAGATGAGTCATCTTAGAATCCCGAGCATATGCCTTATGGAATGTGCTGAAAAATTATTTGCTAATTAGAATAGAGAATGAAGTAAAGTAACAGAATTGTCTTTCTTACATATGACTTATTTAATCAACTATCAAAAATTGGCAACTTATTTTTTTTTCATACTTCATTAAGGGATGATAACTCGAGAATAATAAAAATTAATAAAGATAACTGTGCTTAAGCTTATTTATCTACTAAAAAATGTTAATTCTCCTATGATAGGGTAAAATTCCAAGGACAACTATTCTACTATTATTGGATTTTTAGGGCAGTTAGGAGCGAAGTGTATGGCAGAGAAAAGGAGTTGTGAATGCTTTTTTATTGAGTGGTCAGTCACCTCAAGTTCACCAGAGCATTTTATTCTGGATACAATCAATTTAGAAAGGAAATCCACCTAATTAAAGACAGTTTGCACAAAGCACTTAAGTCAGTTAGGACTCACCTTATGGACCCTGGAGACAAGCCTTGTCATTCCTTTCAGCATTATCCCTGTGCTTTAAAAAAAAAAAATAGTGAAAAGGTAAGCCACAACTGGGAAAAGATACCTGCACGATGGGTTAGTGCCTAGAATAAAGAATGCCTAGACATTGATTACAAAATGATCAGAGGCCATGAACAGACATTTCACAGAAAAAGGAATACAAATGGCTAGTAAATCCATGAAAAGAGTTTCACCCTGATGATAAATCAGAGAAATATAAATTAAAACCACGACAAAGAGATTTTCACAATCATATTGAGAAAAATAAAAAGGACAACAGCAAATGCTAAAGAGACTGTGGAGCATTGGGAACTTTCCTATACTGTCAATGGAATTATAAATACAAATATCTTAGAAAACAAATTTGAAATTATCTGTAAAGTTGAAAATGTACATAACTATGGCCCAGGTATTCTACTCTGTATTTATTTTAGAAAAACACATATACAGGTACACTGAAAAATATGCATTACAATGTTTATAGTAGTAGAATATGAATAATCAAAAACTGTAAAAAGCACAAATGTCCACTGATACAAAAGAGTGTATAAACAGATACAGTCATACAATGGAATACCATAAAAAATAAACTGCAGTTACATGTATGGCATAGATGGATCTCAAAACTAATACTGAGGGCACACTAATATATAACATGATATAATTCATATGAAACTCAAAAACATAAATCCTATTTGGGGAATACACATATATGTAGTAAAACTGAAAGAGAAAGAGCATGATAAACACCTATTTAGAATAGTATTTACTCTTAGGGAAGAGATAAAGGGACAAGATTGGGGAAGGGCACACAAATTATAATGATCTACTTCAAATGATGGATAATGAATATACGAGCATTTGCTTTTTTATTTTTATGCCATATGTGTTATGTTTATTCATTTGTATGCTGGAAGTATTTAACAGAAAAACCTTAATCATGTGAAGTAAAAAACTGTTTAAGATACTTAAATGCAACTCTCAATATTGACTAGTAGATAACAAAGTTGCACTCATTTATTCAACAGCTACAGAGCACCCGTTATATGCCAGGGCCTGTGAATAAGATGGTGAACAAAGCTGTTATGGTCCCTGACCCAAAAGAGCTTATAGTACAGTTAAGAGATGACATAAATGCCTATGAGTTTTATTTCCTTTTAGTTCTCAAGTTTATTTTTTCTCTTTTAGAAACAGTTTACTTTCCATCAACCTCTTTCCGTTTTAGCTTGTGGAAGAACACCTTAAGACTACTCAGTGGTCGTTCCTGCATCTTCAGGGGCCTGAGCAGTGGGAGCTGCACTGTGGTCTGCAGTGGCAGGATCAGCATTCCAGGCTTCAGCAGGAAACTGCCGAATAGGCACCCACAGCACCTGCACGCCTTCAGACCAGTCTGCCACCTTAGGTTAAGCAGCAAAGAACTTAGGAGCTGAAGGGGTCTGTTCACTGTAAAATTCCTCCTTGGTCACAGCCTTCTCAGCTGCCTCCTGCTCTTCTTTTTCAGTCTCTTCAGGATCTTTGTAAAAGTAAAGATCAGGCATGACCTCCCATCGGTGTTCACAGGAGATGGTGCCATGCATGCGCAGAACTTCCCCGGGTGAGTATCCACCACATCAGACCCACCAAGTCAGCTTTCTTGTTGCATGGGATGACAACGTCCACTCTCCTCTCCTCTCTGCAGAGTCGGTATTACACAGAGCAACGGTGGGCAGGTGAACACAAGAGGTCTTTGAGAGCAGCTGTAACCACCAGAAATTTTGGCTCCTGGAAGGCTGCCCAGATCTAGTTAGTGAGGTTCCTGGGAGAGAAGCGGCCAGCAATAGGAGTCGCTCCAGGAGCAGCAGCAAACTTCAGCACAGCTTCCTGGAGGATATGACACTCACATCAGCTGGACTTTCAATGGCAACAATGGCACGACCTGCCAACAGAAGTTCCTCCCAGGTTTTCAGATTTATGATGTAGATGCCATCACTTTTCTTTTTGTAGATGTACTGTTCCATTTGGAAGTCAAGCGTGGGTTCTAGCTGCAAGAAATTTAAGGATATCCTCCCCCTTCATTTGCAGGACACAAAGTATTCTAGACATTGTGAAAGCTTTCCTTTAAATTAAAATGGGAATCCAGAACAATGCTGTATGGATCCTTGTCTGGGCAGTGTAGAAAAGTTAACTTTTTAGTAAAGATGCCAAAGCATGCCTTAATTCAGTCATTCCAAAACATGTGATGTGCTTCTACATGCCCACATCATACAGAGCATTCAGTGGTGAACAAGACTGGCATGGTCTCTACTGTTTCTATGTGGGATTCCAGGCTCCTTTGCTGTGTTTCAAAACGAAAAGTTCTAGAGCAGCAGCTCACAAAACGAGTTTGGTGAAACTAGTCATAAAATGCATCAATGTTCTCTGGCCAAAGAAACTTGAGAATGCTATATAGTTATTCTTGAATAATTACAATATATGTATATATTTGCATATTTTAAAGCTTTGGGGAAAACTACAGTAAAGAGGAGGGGCTTCCATGGTGGTTCAGTGGTAAAGAACCTGCCTGCCAATGCAGGAGATGTGGGTTGGATTCCTGGGTAGGAAAAGTCCCATGTAGAAGGAAATGGCAACCCACTCCAGTATTCTTGCCTGGAGAATGCCATGGACAGAGGAACCTGGTGAGCTACAGTCCACAGGGTTCCAAAGAGTTGGATTTGACTCAGTGACTAAAACAAAACCAAGAAAATAGCAAAGAGAATTTTCTTCCCCTAAGGTGCCCTGGGTCTTCGTTGTGGTGTGCAGGTTTTCTCTGTCTGCAGCCCAAGGGGGTTCTCTTGATGTGGAGCCAAGAACGTGCGGCCTCGGCAATTGCAGCCTGTGGGCTTAGTTGCCCCAAGATCCTAGCTCCTCAACCAAGGATCAGACCTGCACCCCCTGCACTGGAGGGTGGACTCTTAACCACTGGGTCACCAGGGAAGTCCCCCAAATCTTTCTAATCCAAACTTACTTGGTCTTAGAACCCTTGGAACTCCACAAAATACTATTAATTACATTCTCCTGGATGTGAGTGGAAGGGTTGCTGCTGTGGAATAATCATATGCCCAGGCCTGAAGATGAATTCTACTAGGCCACAGGCAGAGTTGAGGTACCCTCTGTTCCCCAGTCTCCTTAGCTCTGCCTTCAATGCCTCCACTGCTGCTCACCACTGCCCAGTGCCCACCACCACCACCACCACCACATGCTGCCTAATCCACTGCGCAGGAAAGACTGCAGCAAATGATTACATGCCCCGCCCCAATTAAACTCCCTGGGCACCGAGACTGATAGTTTCCCTGGTGGCAACATCTCACGTGTTGTCAACTTTTTGCTGACGGAATCAAGTGTGTCTTATACGATTCTACTGGGAAAGGACTCCTGGGAATTTATACCTGGTTTCCTCCAGATTTTGCCCAATGTGTCTTCTTCCTGTACTGATTTTGATCTGTATCTTTTTGCTGTAATAAGTCATAGCTGTAAGTACAACTATATGCTGACCTCTGAGTCCTTCTAAGGAATCACAGAACCTGGGGGTACTTCTGGCAACTACCAACACAACAACCCAGTGCCCAAAACCACCCAGCATTGATTTCCACCTGATACAACCATCACCTGGCACCCAACACCACCATCTCTGACCAGCTCAATTTTCTTAACTTCAGTTCTCATTCCTTCCCTATTTCAATTACCTCAACTCCCTGCCTCCATCTGTGACAACCAACCTCCATACCAATTCTAACCCTCCATGTCAGCTGATTTCCAACCCTAAGCCCCACACCCAACGTCAACTTTTCCAATTCCCAAACTACTTATGACCCAGTGTCACTCCAACAGTATCTAGCCTACTCAACCTTGCTTCTTGTTTCTTCTCAGCGTGCCCTGGTACCACCACTAACGTGAGACATCCGTGGGCTGCAGCTGTGCAGGGAGGCTGGGTCCTAGAAACAGTGGTGACATAATCCTGAGGGGAGTACTTTCTCCATGTATGCCTGTGGTCACTGAGGCCATTACTCTGGCTATGTTTTATAAATTATGGGAAATGCTGGTCAGGAAAATGTGACCAGCCTTCCATCTTTTACCCAGTCATCTTGTATCTTACTAGCCTCCATCCTTGAACTTCTCCAATCCATCCTTTCCACTGAAGTCTTGCTCTTAAAACCCTTCAATATTTTTCTACTGCTTTTAAAGGTAAAGGACACACACACACACACACACACACACACACACACACACACACACACACACACGGCTTATATAAGAATGAGAGAAGATATTTTAAGGAAAAAAGGAGGGTGAATCTCAAAAGTATAACCTCAAAGCAGACAATCCAGACTAAACCACACTTTCCAAGTCCTATAAGATACCTTTAAGTTAAACAAACAAAAAAAATCAAATTGACAAGCCAAATGAAAGCAGAAAGAATAGAATATGTGCTCATTCTACATTCCAGTTCAGTTCGGTCATTCATTTGTGTCTGACTCTTTGTGACTCCATGGACTGCAGCACACCAGGCTTCCCTGTCTATCACCAACTCCTGGAGCTTGCTCAAACTCATGCCTATTGAGTCAGTGATGCTATCCGACCATCTCATCCTCTATCGTCCCCTTCTCCTCCTGCCTTCAATCTTTCCCAGCATCAGGGTCTTTTCCAATGAGTCAATTCTTCACATCAGATGGCCAAAGACTGGAGCTTCAGCTTCAGCATCAGTCCTTTCAAAGAATATTAAAGACTGATTTCCCTTAAGATTGACTGGTTGGATCTCCTTGCAGTCTAAGGGATTCTCAAGAGTCTTCTCCAACACCACAGTTCAAAAGCATCAATTCTTCGGTGCTCAGCTTTCTTTATGGTCCAACTCTCACATCCATACATAACTACTGAAAAACCCTAGCCTTGATTAGATGGACCTTTGTCAGCAAGGTAATGTCTCTGCTTTTTAATATGCTCTCTAGCTTGGTCATACCTTTTCTTCCAAGGAGTGAGTGTCTTTTAATTTCAT